ACTTCACCTTTTGTAGTTATATTCCTTTGAAAAGGAACTCACGGTATTATATCATATTTTTTAAAGAAAAGTACGTTATCATGAAAATATTAAATACATAATTAAAATTGATTTTAACGTCAACATAACAGAAGTGACTATTTTTACTTTAAGAGAAACTGTGGTATTTAATAAAGAAATTTCGAACAGTAGTGAGCTACAACAACAAAAACTATTTTTATATTATTTTAATTAATTGAATTTTTGACTGACCATACAGCTGTTTCGAGTATTGCCAAGTACCCAACGCTAATTGTTTTGGTAAAAATTCTTGTATTTAATTATGCGTATATAATTTTTTTTTGAGACTGCAAGTACCAGATGTTGAACTCGTGCTCTGCCAAATTTAAAGCTCAGAATCAGCGCTCCTTAACCAACTGACCCAAAGCCGTACTTGACTTTCATGTTCCCACATTTTTTTGAAGTTTTGTTAATTTACTACTGATGATGAGTATTTGACTATACTCAAAACAGCTGTATGGTCAGTCAAAAATTTAATTAAATAAAATAATATAAAAATAGTTTTTGTTGTTATACCTCACTACTGTTCGAAATTTATCTATTAAGTACATAATATGAATAATAAAACTCAAATATTGTATCTATACTATTTGAACAAAATACGAAACTTAAAAAATGTAATCGTGGGGAATACGGAAGAAGATATGGTAAAGGTAACAAAGGCAGAAGAATAGGGAATAGTGTTAAACATATAGGAAATGGGATTATTTATACTCTTGATAATGGTTTTATTTTATTAATTGTACATTGCAAATAAAGTGAATATAATAACTTTTATCATAGCATCATTTTTCGTCAATCTTCTAATAATTTAGGCATGATAAATGCATAATTTAGCCTTTTTTTTAATACTTTTTAAAGCCTAATTAATATTTAATAAAATTTCTGTTGAAAGAATGAATTTATCTCCTAAGTTCAATTAGAATTTATTTTTAATTTTTAAAAATTTTACAACCTTTTCTTAAACACTTTTTAAAATCATCGAAAAAAAATTGTTAACCAATTTTCCTGCAAATAACAACCTTTCCTATTTTATTGGTAACGAAGAGGGATGAGGGTGTGATAATTTTTGTTCGGAATAAAAATGTAACTCAAAGGGAACACAACCATTCGTTCGTAAGATTTATGGCACTTTGACTATTTCAGGGACAATTGCTATTGCTTTATCTTTCCTGTCACTTTTTTGTGTACTTCTGCCGTTTACATTTCTTCTTCTTCTGTTTTATTGCTTCCTACACTTGCAATTGTGATAGTGTCTCCCGCTCTTCCCGGTTCTTCTCACACTCGCCACTCACACTCAGACATCGTCTTTGCTTTACCAGTACAAGCCACACTTTTGCAATTCATTTGAGCTTTCTTTATCTTCATTTTGGGCTTATGGCAATCGTGTTCTTGTAGCCTTCATAACTACACTTTGGAGCGGTCATAACGTTTGCCGAATGAAGAAAAGCAATCGCTGTCAGTTGATTTTTGTGGGGGGAAAAATATATATTATTATAATTTTCAAAATAATACAAAATTAATTACAATTAATACAAATTAATTCCTGTCGCACAATAACTCTTTCGTCTTCATTATAGGTTAACGTTTTTTTAATTATTAATCATACTTTCTAACTTAGACGAACTCAGCTTTAATTTTTTGCGATGATCCACTAGATGTGGTAATAAAACTATTTGGCAATTGATCAATATGTTTCTTATCATTTACATGGATATCTTATCTCTGCATTTATATTGAAGGAAGGTCTACGATACGATAGAGACGATAGTAGTATAATAATGATCAGTCACGTAAGCAAGGGCCCTTGAGGCAGTGAAACTCAAACAAATGGATCGAATGGCTACATTTAGACTATTCATGAATTCATGCACATTCATTATTAATCCATCATCACTATTAACTAACTTTAAAATAGCAAAAATGATCTCAATCAATTTATATTACTCCGAACTGAACCTAAAAATCACTAAAAACTTAATTTTGTTGAAATGAAAATTGGGAACAACGTATATATACTTTTTCAATTGAATTAAAGAAACAACCGGAATGAAAAAATCCTTCAATCAAAACCCTGAATGCATGACGTTCCAGTGAGTGACGTTAAAGTGAGTTTACAGAGTTATAAAACTCTTGTATTAGAATTTAATAAGAATTAATTACTTCACTTAACATCGATCACTTAAATCGATGACTCCTCGGAATGTTGATATCGCCAGAGAATTATTGATGCGATTTGAGGTCTAGGTGTTTGACTTAAAATTGAGATACTTAAAAGGAGCTTTACTTTGCAATATTTTGACATAAATTAAATAAGTATAAGTATAATTTTTAAAATAACTCAACTAACAAATTCAATTTAAAATAATTTTAACTTTAATTAATATTAATAAAGACTTTTTAACATAATCTATTTTAGCATAACTATAACATGCACCCGTCAAGTTTTTATTTAGCTTCCACATGAGTACCTTCTTAGTGGAGATCAGTTATCTGACTCTCCATTTTGTAATAATCTTTAACATTTATAGGTCAAATATTTTACAATTGCTCTACTTTTGATTCTATTCAAATACATCTTTTCAAATATTTTGCATAAGAGCTTATTAGAGTTACAGTTACTATTAAAAATATACTTTTAAGAATATATTTTATATTTATACATATATAAATATATTTATATACTCTTATAGGTGAGATACTTCTTTATTATTAAATTTCAAAATTTTTTAACATAAGTAAGTAAGTATTATGCCTTAAGTTTAAAAACATTGCTTAGAGTTACTTAAAAATATATTAAAAAATAAAGTTTATAGTTGATAAGTATATGTTCATAAAGTTTATTACTATATATATGAGAATTAAATAAATATAAATGTATGTAAGTACATATATATAAATATATTCATAATATATTTATATATATTATTTATAGATAACTTATAAATGTATATAAGTATATATATATATATATAAATATATATATATTATATTCATATTTATTATTTATATATAACAAATTAATATAAGTGTATATAAGTATATATATATAAATGTATTTATAAATATTTATATATATAAATAAATATATGATATATAAATATGTTAAAGTCTTTAATTTAGTCAACCAAATTTAATTGATAATATCCAAGCTAAAGGCTAATGCTCAATTGCTTATATAAATTATAATAAGTGTTTATTTTTTTATAGGCTAATTGGTCAAAACTTTTTTATTATTGTTGTTAAAAATGAAAACAAAAATTAAGAATTCACAATTTGATTTTTCAATAATTTTTATTTTTCTTCGATATTTCGACTTTAGTCTAAAGTCATCATCAGGAAACTATATAAATATATAAATTTATATAATTAAATTATATAAATTATAGGATCTTATAGTTTGTAATAAATTATAGCAAGTAATATAAAGTTATTTTAATATCATATTTTAACATAACCATTTTAAAAACCTCGAATTAATCCTGTTTTTAACTATTTGCCGAAAACATAATTTTTTTGTGCCGAAAGGAGATTAAAAAATGCGAAACGTTCAATCTACATGGACTAAAAACAATCCGCTCCGTATGTCAGACCGTTTTTAGGGTCTGGCAAATTTTATCGTGAGTTCTCAAAGTTAGAGTCTCTATGTTGGTTACCCACTAAATGTTGTTTTCATTAACCTGCGTCCAGATCTCATTTAACAAACCGTTCAATAGCGCTCCAGCTTTCTTCGGATAGAAACATCTTGACAACATGGTGGAAAAGTATGAATTCTCATTCTCAAATGGAATCATATATTGCAAGTTTCTATCATCTTAACTCAGTAATTTTTTTTACTGGTAATGTCATAGACATGATAAGTTATTAAATATTTAAACTTCCTCTAGACTTCTAATAGATTTTCATAATTATCTAAAAAGTAGAGAAATTTTTTGGTCTAGACTTTTGACTTCAACAAAAACATGACCGACCGTAAATTTTCTTATTTTCGGTCCGAGAATCAATTTTTTTAATTTTTCTCTATATGTTTTTTACAATATTGTTGTTGTTGCTGTTGTTGTTGTCGTTGTTCTTTTATTGTTTATTCGTGTCGTGGGTGATATTTACACTTTTTTTTACATATTTTTTTTTATTCTTTTCTATTTTAGACGGCAGTTAAGTCAATTTTACTTACACACCTCTTCGGCTCGAAAACACCTGCCCGTATGCAATTTCTTGAATACCTCATTTTGTTGGGGCATTTGTTTTTGTTTCTTTTTGTTATTGTTTTTTTTTTTGGTTTTTTGTTTTTGTTTTTGTTATATTTTGTTTTGTCTTAAGAAAGTGCTAAGTCACTACGCTTGCATATGTTTTATCGTCGCACTTACAAAAGTTTGCCTCGTAATTCTTTTATTGCCGTTTTCTTGTGTTTGTTACTTGCGCTCGAAACTGTTTTGGCTAAAATTTATGTTCCTTTTACATTTTGATGACATACTACGTTCTGCCGACACACACACGCACACACATATGATACGTATGCGCATAAATGCCTGTGTGTGTAAATTGCATACAAGTTCGGTCAATGTGTCAAGTTGTGTTAACGTGCGGGGCGGGGCGTAGCTGTAGAGAAAATTGTAGCCAACTTAGAGCCGAACAAACTTTAAAATGAAAAGATGATGCATGACTAGTGAAATTTCCGACTAGTGAGCAGTGAGTGTGGGCCATAAGCCCCTGTGTAAATTAACTGGCATACGTGTTAGAGGTGACAATCGTAAAAAGACTCACGTTTCCGGTAGTTAATTTAAGCCAAATCAGCAGAAATTTATTCCTTGTGAGTTATAAGTTCAGGAAAGTGAAAAATAGAAATAACTATTCAGGGTTTTGTGTATCAAAGTTACATTAAAATGCAAACTTTTCAAAATTGTGTTTCATTTTGCTAATGATGTAATTTATATTTACAGAATGGGATTCCAACTTCATCACGGGCATTCACATGGTGGTGGTGGTGGTGGACACAGTCACGGAGGTAGCCACTCAAAAAAAGAAAGCGGTAAAGATGTGGAGAGAAATGATGTATGTGAATTGAAAGCAGCCAAGAGGAATGGTTTTGAGACACCTAGAAATAGTAATACAGTTTCGAGAACATCATTGACTGACAGCACCAAAGCTTCTAATCTATCCATTTGTCCCGAATCACCAAAGGGACGCATAGAAGATGGCGTGGCTGACTTGGAGGCTGATGCACAACTACCCGGTGATGGTTTACGCACATTTTCTTATCAAAATTCGAAATCCGTGGGTGAAGTTCACTCTGAAATTGCTGCTGTGATGGCTGAAACAGCGCCTGGAGCACATCATCATGGTGGTGAGGCTGCACGGGAAGCAGTGAATCTGAATGTACGTGCCGCATTTATACATGTGGTTGGTGACATGGTGCAAAGTGTTGGAGTATTCATAGCTGCTCTTCTCATATATTTCCGTCCAGATTGGGCGATTGCTGATCCAATTTGTACATTTATATTCTCCATTATAGTGCTCTTCACTACTTTCGCCATCATGAAAGATGCGTTATTGGTAAGTACAGTCGTATTATATACATTCGAATTATATTTTCATTTTTTATGAACGGTTTATAAAAACATTAATACTACACATCTAAATAAATACTTAAATTTCATTAATAATTAATTCGTTAAAAATAAGTGTTATTATATCAGAAATTAGTTTTTAAAAAAAAATGGAGGAAAATAAAGCCAACAAAAACTTAATTTTTACTTACTTACTGAAATGGTCATAACCATTCATTAATAGGTTTCGACCTGGCGCAGCATTCTTCCCCTCTTTTTATTTCTAGATCCATCTTCGATGTATTTTTACATCGCCTGAATACTACACTTAGTTAATTAGTGCAGACTAACACAAGCTCATAATCTTCTGAGAAGAAGTTGTAATATATATACTTGAAGTGTATATGGAATACAAAGAATAATGATTTTATTATCTTTTTCCTTATTTTTTTTCTGTTTAAGCTAAATTGTTATTTTAAATTGTAAGTTGCTGAAGTTATATGTTTTGTGTACTAATAAAACACATACAATTTTTAAGTATATATTTTAATTTCTTACTTCACTAAATCATACTTTTTGGGTAAAAACTGCAAACAGCAGCAATATAAACTCCTGAACTTAAATAAGACAGACAACTGAATCATTATTATTTGAAGAACCTTAAGTTCTAGTGTAATATTTATATGTCGTTTAACTTAAAATAATGTTGAGAGTACCCCAAAGATAAGATATATTGAACGAATAAATAACTGTACTGATTTCAATTTTTTATATCAATATCGATAAAGCAAAAAAAGATGTAAAACATTTTAGCTAACAATTATATTAAAGTATTCAATTAGTCACAATACAGAAAATTTTAATATATAGTAAAAATGAATGGATATCACCTAAAGTTATTTCTCGTCGCATTATTGTGCTTTTCTATAGCACTTTTATTGGTACTTTCGCATATTGTTTCTTCATAGAGACTAAATTGATTTTTTAATGGAGTTACTTTTAGTTTTATATTACTTTTTGTAAGTGACATTCATTAATATTAATTTTATTAAAAATTATATTATTTTTACTTGAATTTTGACGGATATGTCTTATCTTTTATATTTTTTTAACATGAATTCCATTGCAAATATTTGTAGTAATTCTATATGAATGCTATTAATTTTTAGCAACCAAATTCGTGAATGTTACTTGTCAAATGTACACTCCATTTGCTATCAATAAACAGATATTCAGCAATCTCGACCGACAATTAAAGAAAGATTGCGAAACTATTTACTGCGTTCGCATTTTCTCCAGTACTCCCTGAAGTTGATCATTACACCGCAGACATGGTCTATAGCTTCTTTCTCTAACTTCTTAGAGAACTTTTCTCTAACTTCTCTAACTTTCTCTAACTTTTCTCTAAGATCTTTTCAAAATTGAAAATGAGAGTGACATATTCAATATTTTTTTGGAGTAGGGCTTAATGATGAAGAAGGGATTTTTTGAATTAAGGAACTGTGTCCGTTGTCTACACTATGAAGCTTAAAGTCTAAGATCAAATAATACTGATATTTGTTTAATTATAAATTCAAACAGCATCAGGGCATTTCGGTGTTAGAAATCACTATGACACTAATTTAAAACTCAGAAAATAGAAAGTTATGTGTTCGATATTGGACTTATAAATAACTAAAATAAAATAAAATGCAAATTAAAGTCACTTTATTATGAAATCATTATTTAAGTGTGCTTTAACCCTTAAGTGTTTAATATTACGCTCTTAAAAGGCTCCTTAAATTTAAATAAATGTCACTCTATTGTCAAATCGTCACTTAAGTGTCTATTTTAAAATTGGGATTTAAAGTATGAATTGTTAAAAATTATATCCTTTAGTAGTCATATACTTATAACAACCAATTATTTTATCTTTAAATGCATCTGAATATGAATCGGAGACATAAATCATTATTTATCATACCTTATAGAAACATTTATCTACATTTGTTATATGCGGAATTGTTAATTGTATATTGTAAATTATGTTATCAATTATTAATTTTATTAATTTTTGTGCTTTCTCTTCTTTACATGTCATTTTGGATGCGTTGCACATTTTGCTCTGTCGCATGTCGCATGTCGCTGCTTCAACACATCGCGAATTTCGAAAACAACCATTTGTGTACTGCTTACGGCTAAATGATAAATAGGTCCTTATGGAGGGAACGCCAAGCTACCTTCATTACACGGAGGTGCTCAACATTTTCCAGCAAATCGAGGGCGTTGAACGTGTGCATAATTTGCGTATTTGGGCGTTAAGCATTAATAAAATTGCTTTATCTGCACACTTGGCAATTGGTGAGTATGAAAATTACACAAATAAACACAAGATAAGGATGTTTTGTTGTTGTTGTTGTTGTTTTTGTATTTGTTGCCCTACACGAAGAAATATGAGCTATAGGTAGTCTGTGTATGCGTAAGCTTATGCCAACACTCCGTATAGTCTGTGTGCAGTGCGTGTGTAGTGTGTGTTTAGTGTGTTTGTAGTGTGTGTGTAGTGTGTGTTTAGTGTGTATTTAGTGTGTGTGTAGTATGTGTGTAATGTGTGTGCGTGCCTGCGCCTGTCTGTGCGCTTACGGATAATGATTGTTTGTACATATTGTAATTATACTCATGGATTTATGTTGTTGGCTGTAATTGTTGTTATTGTTGCTGTTGTTGTTGTTATTGTTGCTACTATTGTCGTTCATGTTGTTATTAACTTAATTATATCTGAAATAGGATTTTAAATGTTTTGACACATTTTAATTAGCCAAATTTGTTTTTCCCCAAATCGTTACATTTTTCGAATACGAGTATATATGTATATATTATTTAGTAATTGAGACCTATAAGAGAGTTTATGATGTGACATTTATGTTTACTTAAGATTCACCATGAGCAATTAGATTTAAATGAAGGAAAACAAATAATATTTAACAAATATTATCAGTTTTTTGATATACATTCTTCAAAATATTTACTACAACTTCATAAATATAATATATAAAAGCATGAAGTTCATTGATCAAAAATTTCAATTTTAAGTCTATAGAGCAATACAATTAAATTTTTAACTAATATTTGTAGTTTCTATTTTTTTTTTTTTGAAAAATTCTACTTTATTCATCAAAGTAGTTCTTCTTCAAGAGCAAAACTATCATTCAAGTACTTCTCTAACATTTCCAAACCTCTTTCGTAGTACAATTAAACCTTGACCTTAAGATATGCTTCAATTTTAGCGAAACTTTTTCAACGGAAGCTGAAGTCTCTTTCCTTGATGCATTGTTTTAAGATCTACGAACACGTAGTAATCGCTGGAAACCAAATCTGGCGAATAAAGTAGATGTGGAAGCAATTCGAAGTATATTTTATAGAATTTGACTATGGTTACCAACGTCTTGTGACAGGACACATCGTCTTAGTGAAACATGACTTTTTTCTTTTCCATTTGGAGCCGTTGTTTCTCGATTTTCTGCTTCAAACGCAATGGTTTGACCATGTAGCAATCATTATTGATGGTTTGGCCGGTAACCAATTTCAAATTAGTTGATAAACGCAACTCCATGCGCATTCCAAAATATAAATGCCAGCTGTTTATTGTGTTTTTGGTTGCTGTGAATGAAATTCGCAGTCTACTGAAGCCGATTCTATTAACTGCCGATTCGACTTTGAAGCAAATTGATGTTTTCAAGTTTTTTCGTTCTTACATAGTAAGAACGCTCCAAACAACACCAAGAATCATCGACACGTTGTTGTTTTTGATAAACTATCAGCAAACATGGGTGACACTTCGAAAAGAGTTTTCTCTTAGACAAATTTTTTTGCAAAATGAAGCCGACATATTTTTTTAGAAATCTTTATGATGTCCGCTATCTCCTACAAATTCACTTAATGGTGTGTCAAAATGATTTTGTGGATTTTTGTGATGTTTTCTGGTATTACCACTTTTTTTGGGTGACCAGCAGTCTCGATAAGATCTGTATTTGTACAGCCACACTTAAAATCAGCAAAACACTTTTCTGCCATTTGTCTCGATGGAACAGAGTTCGGGTACCACTTATTAAGTTAAACTTAAGCTATCATGGTAGTAGTGGCACTAAAATAGCTATAACTGAATAAGTTACAAATCGTTCAAAAGTCATGAAATTTTTATGAATTAAAAAAATTCTTACTAGGGTTATTATATTAAGGTTTATTAGCAATAGATTCCTAATAACAAAATTCTCTTTGTATTTATATTTTATCCATATTTTTCATCTACTGAAAATAATAATTTTAGTGTTAAAAATAATCCATTGAAAACCTTATCATATTTTGTTTTTAGCAGATCTTTATTAAAATAGTTAAGTTTCCTATAAATAAACTCATTCAGCTTCAAAATTGTATTCTCGATTATTGTGGGTCGGCTGTGAATGTGAACTGTTTTTTTTCCCTTGCAGAAGAAGAAGAATTAAACACAATGCTTGATGAGAAAAAATTACATTTTATTTATGTTCGAAGTTGACATTTGCGTTGTTTGATTTAATGACTGCAATACATTCAAAGGCACACATACATCCCAATCTCAATCAGGCACATGTGTATGTCCTCAAGCCCCGATGCGTATAGGGAATCTTGCAATGAAATAAAATCCATGTTTATGCGACACTTTCCGTCATTTTATGCTGTACTTGGTGCCGCTATTGTGCTTTGCCTTTCCTGTTTAGGCAGCTTTTTTATGGGTACAATTTCCGCATTTTACGCGCTTCGACATTAACTCATTTATACTCGTACATACCACAGGAGGTTAAAGTGGGTTGACCCAAAAGAAAGTTCATGACGTTGCATGACGCCAGTCATTTTTTCTATACATATTATATTTTATTAGGGTTTTATTGGTTCCTTTGTTTTTATTCGTTTCCATGCACAATGAATTCATCCAGAGCAGAGAAACTGCTTTACTTTAAAACTATTTTAGCTGAAAAAAAAATTCATTCTGTTTATTTGATGATTGACTTAATAAAAAAAGTCATACCTTTACTTTTTATTTTGTACAAATTGAACCGATAAATATATTTAATACTTAATCAAGGATTTAGAAAAATTGTGTACTTTGACTATTTATAGGATTAAATGAAATTAAACAAAATCATTAAAAATTTGTATAGATAAATAGTTCTATAAAGAAAATTTAGATTTTTAATAAAATAACATTATTAATCTAAATTTAAATCAAAAATAAAAAAAAACATTCGACGTATATTAAAAAAAAACCCATTTTTTTCAATAACAGTTAATATTAGTAAATAAATACAAACAATTTCTGAAAGCTTAGTATATAAAAACAATATATTTCTAAAATCTCTCGCAATATTGATAAGACTCTATCCATATTGTTGTATACATATTGTTAAAATAATGAAGTATGAACCTCTCTTCCAAATTTCGTCGCCATAGTCCGTCAACGTGTATTTTTCCATTGTTCCGAGACATTTCTAAGGGTTGCGTAGCGGTAAAATTTTTCCGATGCAGGGTTGCTGGCCTTGCGATCAACCCCCAACTTGGAGGGCCAGATCTCCTTATTTGCTAACCCGGAGATAGGATTGGTGTTAAGTAGTTATAGAATTTCCGCTCAATTATATGTTTTCAAGTTATGCCGCGTGTGTTAAAATAATATATGCACCAAATCAAAATCACATATTTAAGAAATTAGTTCCACAAGGAATTAGTTATTATGTTTTGTAAAGTATCGCCGGTTATTGCAATTTCATTTACAATTTTAAAACAAACCGGGTAGGTTCCATCTCCAGATCATTAACCACAACAAATAATGATTTTTTGTAGATTTGAAAGTATTCCCAGAACAGTGCATGGGTACTCTTAACCTCAAATGTAGCAATTCTTTTTATTTACAAAATTATAATTAAATTTTGATTTCAATGTCAATATGACAGTAGTAACTATTTTTACTTTAATAGAAACTGTGGTATTTAATAGAGAGGTTTCGAAAAGTAGTGAACTACAACAAAAAACATTATATATATTATTTTAATTAATTGAATTTCTGGCTGACCATACAGCTGTTTCGAGTATTCCCAAATATCCATTATTAGTGGTCTCGGAACTATTTTTTATATATAATTATTCATAAATAATTTTTTTGAGACTGCAAATACCAAGGCTTGAATTTGTGCACTGCAAAATTTAAAGAAATAAACGCATGCAATAAATAATGCCTCCACAAACGTAATAGTATTGAAATTGAACAATTAAAAGTAAAAATTCCTTCTGCTCAAAAAGTACTCGGATTTTGTAAACAAAACAAACAAATTTGAATTTTATTCCAAGTTTATTTTATCTCCTTCAAAATATGCTCCTTCTAAAGCGATACACATATGCCAACGCTTAACCCAATCTTCCATACATTCTTCGTAAGCCCCTGGAAGTATGGTTTTTAGTTCCTTCGGCGAATTCTCTTTTACCGATTCAATCGACTCAAAACGCTCGGGAACAGGAAAAAGTTCGCCAGGCACCATAGATCTGGCGAATATGGTGCCTAAGCGATGACAGTAGTGCCGCGTTTGGTCAAAAAATCGCGTACTACAAGAATTTTCCATAGTAGAAATCGCCAAATGCACTTGAGATAATCTCACATTAACAGCTGCTGTAAACAAACTAATTGACAGATGGCGCTCAAATTTGTGCCATATGTCAAGAATGGGAGTACCAACATAACAAAAAAAAATTTTGAAAAAGGTCTATTACTTAAGGAGTAGTTAACAAACAACAAAATCCGGATACTTTTTTAGCAGAATTATTAAATTAATTTATTTGTTCTATAGCTGATTTATGTTTCGTTTTAATAAACCACAGCAAATTAATCTGTTTCACAGTAAATTAACAAAACTCCGAGTTCGAGCATAGAAGTCAAGTCCGGCTTTAGATCAGTTGTCTAATGAACCTTGTCCCTGAGCTCCAAGCTTGGCAAAGTACGAGTTCAACCCTTGGTACTTAGAGTGTTAATAAATTAATTTACGAATTATTAAATATAAGAAAGAATTCCGAGACCACTGCTGATGAAAAAAATTAATAAAAAATAAATAAAACTTTTTGTTGTTGCGATTCAGTAAGATTTGAAACCTCGCTATTAAATATAATTGTTTATATTAAGTAAAATAATCGGTAGCGTCAAAACTGACGTTAAAATGCAATTTAAAAATTTTATGTGTAAATTAAATATAACCATAGACTCAATCATAGACTTAAAAACTAAATATTCAATAATATTATTTATCTGAAATTCAACAAAAACCTATTTAGTTATTGTCATTAACCTG